ATATATATATATATATACACATCTACACTGTGGTCTTTATCAAATCCATTGGTAATTATTTATAGTTGTACAGGTTTCCTAGGTTATAAATTTAATTAAAATACCATTTCCATATAATGATTTTTATACAAATACTGCTTAGATTTCTGTGAAATTACATATTTATGTACATATGTTTGGAAAAATAATGTCTGTACATCTACAGATGGGAAAATATAGCAATAAAATATTTTAAATGGTTTATAAATTTATATTTTCCAAATACAAGTTACTTTTCATTAAATTCAAGTTTACTGTTAGTAGTAAATGATCACTGAAGTAACTTGACATGCATGTATTGTTGAACTGCTTATATAAGTTACTTAAGTTACATATTAGTAACTTCATATTACTTCATGTAAATAATTTTATTGATTAACACTTTTTAGAAACACTTAAAGAAAGCAACTTGATTTTTTGTGGCTAGCTAGTGCCTCAGAAGTATGCTTAAAGCATTAAGGAAGTAGTGACTTTGACTTGTGGAGGTGATGCCATAAGGATAGCTCGATCACATTTGGGCTGTTATCAGACAGGGTGAAAAAACTGGCCTATTGGATTATGGGAAAGATGATGTGACAGATGTAAGAGCACTTTGTAAGTTATAAAGTGCTATGTAATTACTCCATCATTAACCATTTAATCTTCATAGTTCTTGAATAGATACAGGGATGGAATTATTTTTAATGAAAGTTTAGAGATTGCAAAATGTATACTTGTATGATGCAGAAGCATGTCACCCCAGAGAAGTGTTTCTGTGCCATTTTAATGTAGTTATATCTGATGATTGCTCTCCTTCCATGCCATCAGACTAGTGTGCAGGTATGTAATTTGAATGTTGCATCATCACCATGCCTATATTCCAGAATATGTTGTATATGTGTGTATGCTTGGTGGGATTTTCCTTTTGTGTTCTTTTGTTGTCGCGTGTCTGTGTTCCTGCAGGTTATTTTTGTTTGTTTGTTTTGGTTTGGTTTTGGTTTGTTTACAGTACATGTTCATGCTCCCTCATTCATCATTGTCTCACAGTGATATGGTAAAGCTCGTACAAGTACCCAACGATGGAGGGCCTCTGGGAATCCATGTAGTGCCTTTCAGTGCTCGAGGAGGCAGGTAACGTATCCTGGAGGTTTTTAATTGAATCATAATGTGGAGTGTTCTAGCTTCGTTTGTGCTCAGAGAGTGTGTTGTTGATTTAGCATATGCTTAGCAGAAAACATTTTCATTTGATGGCAACTGCTACTTCATTCATACGTATGCAGCATAATCACAGAAAGCACTTAGGCTGATGAAGAAATCATACATTTAAATTTCCTAATAATTTTATTGTTCATCACATCCATGTAAACATTTTACTTTGTTGTAAATTGGTAATAGGTTTTCAGAGTCTGCACTCCAGCTAAATTTGTAATGTTAAGAAAATGCTTACTGTAATTTTCTGGAAAAAAGAAAGACTCCATAAAAATTATCTGGATAACACAGTAATGATTCATTTGAAATTCATTTTAATGTTTATTTAGCACTTTAATTTTAAATGATTTTTATGATTACAGTTGGCATTTTAAAAGTTAGAAAGCTGCAGATTTATTTCCTACCTTGTGATTCTGGCTCCTTCTGTCATATCTCAGTATACTCAAATGTCAAGATTTTGTACTGTTAATTCTGCCTTCATTATTTTCTAGAACACACATCCTTAACACCTTCATTTGAGTTTCGTTTCTCCTGCTACTGCTTTTCTTGTACTTTTTGTTTTGGCATACTCAAGCATTATGAATATATTTTGCATTGAAAGCTTGATAGGCCTCTATCCTTCAGAGGGATTTGAAGATCAGCCTCTGCAGTTAAACCTATGCACATTTAACTTAAAGAAGTTTAGTTGTAGGTTCCTTTATTTAGTGATTACCTGGTAAAATATATTTGTCAACACTTGGCTAAGAGTTTTGTAATTTGCCAGTGAATGACAGTTGTCTCATATATTGTAAAAGATAGATGGAATATCAATTAGTTATATAATCAAATTATTTATTTACTGATTCATTGTACTATCTTTTCTGATTCATCTCGTTCATAACATATCTGTCTAGAAACTGCAAATTTTTAGTATTTTATTTTATAAATTCATTTTTTACATTATTCTTCATTTTGTACATTTTCCATCTCAGTTGTAATCTTCTGTGGACTTCCCACCACTACTGTACTCATGTGCCATCACATAGTCCCACGTGCTCTTCCCACCCCAGTTTTGCTCTTGTTCCCATCTCCTCCCCATAGAATGTCTCTAGTTTATGTTGATTTTCTTTTTACTGTATTACATTTTTTTTTTCTTTTCCCCTGATCCCTTACAGTCCTGCTATGAGTGAAACTATTGGTAGTTTTCTTTTTCTTTCTGGCTTATTTCACTAAGCATGATCCCTTCCAGTTCCATCCATGTTGCCACAAATGGCACGAATTTATCTTTTTTGATTGCTGAGTAATATTCCATTTTATATACAGATATATGTATATGTATGTGTATATGTATATATGTGTGTATACACACACACACACACACACACACACACACATACATCCTTGATCCAGTCACTTATTTTTTGACATTTGGGCTGATTCCACTTCTTCCCTTTTGTAAATAGGACAGCAATAAATAGGGGTACAGAAATCCTTTTGAATTATTGTTTTTGTGTCCTTTGGGTAGATACCTAGGGGTGGAATTGCTAGATTATATGGAAGCTCCATTTTTAGCAGTTTGAGAAACCTCTGTAAAGCTTTCCATGGTGATTGTACCAGTTTGCATTCCTACCAGCAGTGTAGGAGAGTTCCTTTTTCTCCACACCCTCACCATTTATTGTTGCTTTTTTTTTTTTTAAATATGTGGCATTCCACTGATGTGAAATGGTATCTCATTGTAGTTCTGATTTGCTTTTCCCTTATTATAAGTGATGCTGAACATTTTGTCATATGCTTGTTGGCCGTTTGCATTTCTCCTTTGGAGAAGTGTCTTTATAATTCTTCTGCCCAGTTTTTGGTGGGCATTTTATATTTGTTGAGTTTCATCAGCTATTTGAATATCTTTGTGGTCAGTCCTTTGTCCTTTTTATTATGTGCAAAAATTTTCTCCCAGTCATTGAGTTGTCTGTTTCATGTAGTGTCTTTTTTACTGTACAGAAGCTCTTCCATTTGATGTGTTCCCATCTGTTTTTCCTTTGTTTCACTAACCTTGCTTTGGGTGATGCATCTTTAAAGATGTCATTGAGATGTAGGTCATGTAATGTTTCACCAATATTTTCTTTTATATATTTTATGCTTTCAGGTCTTATGTCTAGGTCTTTAATCCATTTTGAGTTGTTTTTTTGTGTGGTGTGAGGTAGTAATCTTACTTCATTTTTTTTTTTTTTTTTGCATGTATCAGCCCCGCTTTCCCAGTACCATTTGTTGAATAAACTTCCTTTGTTCCACTGCATATTCTTTGCTTCTTTGTCAAAGAATACCTGTCCATAAAACTGTGAATTTATATCTGGGGTTTCTTTTTGATTCCATTGGTCTGTATGTCTGTTCTTGTTCCAGTACCATGCAGTTTTAATTATTATGGCTTTGTACTATAGTTTGAAGTCCAGGTGTGTGATACCTCCATTCTTTTCTTATTCAGAAAAGCCTTTGCTATTCGAGGATTTTGTGGTTCCATAGGAATTTCATCAGTATTTTTTCTATTTCTTTGAAAAATGTCATTTAAATGTTTATAGGAATAGTATTAAATCTATAAATTGCTTTTGGTAGGATGGCTATTTTAATGATGTTAATTTTTCCAATCCATTAGCAAGATATTTCTTTCCATTTACTTGTGTCTTTTTCTATTTCTTTTAACAATGTTTTATAATTATCTTTGTAGAGGTCCTTCATCTCTTTTTTAGGTTTATTTCCAAATATTTTATCCTTTTGTTTCAATTATAAAGAGAATGGTTTTCTTGATTTCTTCTTCAGAGTGATTATTTGTGTGTGTGTGTGTGTGTATATATATATATACACACATACATATATATATGTGTGTGTGTGTGTATATACACACACACACACACACATAAGATTGTAAGTGTTGATTTTGTATCATGATACCTTACTAAACTGGTTTATTATTTTGATGTTTTTCTGTAGAGTTTTTGGGATTCTCTATGTATATTATCATGTCATCTGCAAAAGTGATAGTCTTGTGTCTTTCTATATTTGTATTACTCGTATGCCTTTTTCTTGTCATACTGCTCAGACTATCACTTCCAGTATTATATCGAAAAGCAGTGGTGAGAGTGGGCATATTTATCTTTTTCTTAACCTTAAGGGAAAGGACTGCAGCTTTTCACCATTGAGAATGACATTGACTATGGGTTTGTCATATATGGCCATTATTATGTTAAGGTATGTCCCTTAATTCCCAGAGTTTCAAGTATTTTTATCACGAAGGGGTACTGGACTTTGTCAAATGCTTTCTATGCATCTGTTGATATGATCCTATGGTTTTTGTTTTTCTTTTTGTTGATGTGTTGTATTACATTAATTGATTTTCAAATGTTGCACAATCCTTGTGCCCCTAGGATAAATCCCACTTGGTCATGGTTGGTTATCTTTTTGATGCATTGTTTGGCTTTATATTAGCTAGGTATTTATTTAGGAATTTTGCTTCAGTGTTCATTAGAGAGATTGGCCTTTAGTTTGTGTGTGTGTGTGTTGTCCTTGTTTGGTTCTGGTGTTAGTGTAATGTTGGCCTCATAAAATATTGTTGGTAGTATTCCTTTTATTTCAATTAAAAAAATTTTTTTAAGGTTTTACTTATTTATTCATACAGAAATGGGGTATAGGCCAGAGGTGCAGGGGTGGTGAGAGGATTCACCAGAGACAGAATAGGGAGCATAGCAGGCACATTGACAAAGTACACTGCTGAGGGGAGTAGTGGGTGAGACAGTAGAGGTCTGGTGTACCTTGTGGTTCACCTCTGGGTTAGAAATCAACTCGCACTGGAAGGAGCCAAGACTTGGCATAGCTCTGCAGTGCAGAGCTTTAACCGCTGCAGCACCAGGGGGCCCTCTCAGTTTTTTGAAAGGGGACAGGCACTAGTTTGTTTGTGAACATTTGGTAAAATTCATTTGTAAAGCCATCTGGTCCTGAGTTTTTGTTTTGGGGGTAAGATTGATTATTGTATCAGTTTCACTGCTTGTAGTTGATCTGTTTAGGTGTGGACCTGAACTTTTGATTTATCTAAAACAGAGTATGGTAAAACTACCACACTCTGTTACTAAATAACAGGATGTGGATTCACCTTGAATTCTTGGGTAATATTATCATAGAATTGATACTGCTGTAATTTTTTTCTTTCCTTCATTTTTTCAGTGTTCAACTCTGGAGATATAGTAAATTTCTTTAGAGATTTTTAGCTAAACTATGTTATTTGTTTCAAAATGACCATTGCCTTTAACTTTCTTTAAAAAATATAATATTAGATGTTCTCAAAAGCTAAATATTTTTTCCACTTATTTTACAAATGCAAAAAATATAATAAGGTAACTTGCATGGACTGTAGCTTTCCAATATTAAAGTGTCTTTAATGGCCTGTGGACTATAACTCATCACAAATGAAATTTAATTGTGTATATACAAGCTTTGAATCAGCAGTTCAATTATAAACACATTATTTTCCGTCACTTATTACACATTTCCTACTTAGAATAAAACACACAAATGAAAAGCGTAAAACAAAAGAATAATAGAAAATAAACCTATACAGTATTTGATTCCATGAGAGACATTTCACAAAATCCACCTATTTTTACTGTTGTATATATAGAAGACATTGAAGTAGACAATCATTTGCATTACTAGAAATTGTTTTATAGGTGAATCATTTTTAATTCTTGTTGATTGACAGTTGATGAAGAAAATCTTGGGCAGCTTTCAAAAGGATGAAGAAAATCAGATTCTTTATAACCCTTTTTAGGCATCTCCAGCTCTCACACTGGGAAACAGAACAAAATATTTTGTCGTTTTTTAATAGTCATTTTCTCTAATTAAGCTTCCCCATCAATTTGATATCATATCAATTCTTGAGAATTATACTGACTATAGAGTTG